CTGTCCCTGGTGAGCAGAGCTCTCTCTGCTCCCTGGTGCCCTGTCCTGAGCTGCTCTCCTCCTCCAGGCCCTGCCGCCATCTTGTTCTGCCTCCCCTTGGGCCCAGAGCCGTGAAACCAGCCAACAATGGATCAGATTCTCTGAAACAGTGAGGCAAAGCACTTCTTTCCTACTGTCAGTTGTTCTTCCAGGCATTTTGGTGGCATGACATGTGGACACAGAGGTGCTGCAGGTATGGTGCGATCAGGGAGAGATGCAGTTTGGTTGATTTATCTTACTCCTCCTTCTCTATATGGCAACTAATATGAACTCCGTCATCGCCAGAAAAAAGCATTCACTTTGAAATACTCATTTTGCAAGCCTTCAGGAAACCGACGGCACCAAAGGCCACTTGCTGGAGTCTCGTGGCCACTCCTGCTGACGCCACGGGAAGCGAGGAATTGCATGCACCTCCATGACCCAATCTGGCGCTCAGAGACCATCCTCCCGTAACTGTCCACCAGAGGCCTGCTGTGTCCGGGTGCTCTGCACCCACAGATTCCACCAACCTCGGGCCAGATGCGTGCATTCGGGGAGGAGAAGAAGAAGAGAACCTGTGCGCAGCACGTACAGATCTCCTTCTTGGTCATTCATCCCTCCATAATACTAACAAGTGGGCGTCAAAGCTGGCTTTTCACAAAGCASAGTGACCGAGGTTTGTCTCCCTTGGGGCCAGCAGACTTAAAACATGATTCTTGTTCCGCCCACAAACACGTGATCCCTTTTTAACATTTTATCTTGTCTTGAACTAAAGAAGAAACTGCTTTGTGAATAGAAATCATCAAGTTCAGCCAGGTGCGTGCGGTGGCACACGCCGGATACCCCAGCTATTCGGGAGGCTCAGGCAGGAGGATCACAAGTTGGAGGCCAGCCTCAGCAACTGAGCAAGACCTTGTCTCAAAATAAAAAAAAAATTTAAAAATGGCAGGGGGTGTAGGTCACTGTAGAGTGCCTCTGGGTTCAATCCCCAGTATCGCAACAACCACCACCACCACAAYAACCACAAAGATCTACCTAAATCCACCCATTATCACTCCTTTTCTTGTTATGTGTTCAACATGGCTACGGGTGCCTAGGTGGTTTCTCGTGCTACCTGTACCATGGGTTGAGCAGGCCTTCCGTGAACAACCATGAAGTCTGATCACGCGCCCCCAGATACTCCATTCCCTTATCCTCCCACACTTTTCCCCATACCTGTTTCTTCACCCCATAAATATTCCTAACACCTGTCCCTCGGGGAGGCCACCTTGGAACTCGATCTCCCATCTCATCACTCGGCTGCCTTACAAACAGATCTTTTGCTGGGCTCCRTGGTGCACACCTGTCATCCCAGCTGATCGGGAGGCTGAGGCAGGAGGATCGCGAGTTCAAAGCCAGCCTCCGCCAAAGGGAGGCCCTAAGCAACTCAGGGAGACCCTGTCTCTCACACACACACACACACACACACACACACACACACACACACACACACACACACACACACACACACACACACACAAATTAGATCATTTCTCTTTTGCAAGATGGAGCATCATAGTCACGGGTAGACTGAGAAAAGGGCACCGAGGTCTAGTTGGTGACACGGTTACAAGACACAGCTACCTTCTCTTCCCTTGGTGACTCAGGCATTGGGTGCAGACCCTTGTGCTTGGAGCCAAGGCCCTGGGCCCCGTGCAATGCCCCAGCTCCCTGCCTGTTAACGCTGTCGACGGGAACGTCCTCGGTGCCTCATTGTGCACCTGGCAGCCACCTCCGAGGGGCTGGTCCCTGTCACGTCTGGTCATGCACCTGAGTGGGATTCGCTGCACATGACACTGAGACCAGAGCTTTGAGACAGGACTCAGGCCACTMAGCCCCKTCCCCAGCTCTGTTTTGCATTTTATTGAGMGACAGGGTCTCCCTGAGTTGCTGAGGGCCTCCCTTTGGCGGAGGCTGGCTTTGAACTCAGGATCCTCCTGCCTCAGCCTCCGGAGCCGCTGAATCACAGGTGTGCACCCCGGTGCTGGACTTAAACTGGGCAATTTTGAATTCAAAGGCACAAATGTGTCTCCCATCTTTGGGGAAAAAGATGCCGTGTGCACACTGCGCCACTTTTGCTGTGACGCTTTGGCACTCTCTGGAGGTGAATCTCTGGGGACTCTTGCACGTCATCTCTGTTGAATCAGGTAACTGATAAAACACAAGAGGGCCATTTCSTCCAAGCGTGATTTTTAGCTCGTTGCTTTCAATCTTTGCATGGTCAGACAATGCAAGTCAGAAGCATTTTCTTTGTCAACAACATCACGGCCTAAAAATGCTAGTTGTTTTTTTTCCCCTAATACCAGCCGTGTGAATAAGAGTCATTTACACGAGAACCATTTATCTCCAAGAAAGAAAAGAAATCCCTTTCATTATAACTCAGTAACTGTCACCTCCGAGGACGGTGTTGTTAAAACTTCTCAAATCTCTGGTTCTGGGAGAAAAATTGCAGAAAATCTCAATGGAATCCCAATCATCGGGTCAGGCTTCAGAATCGTTACCATCATTGAAAACATTTCSGATTCTCTTCCAAACTCTTTCACTGAGAGGCCACAACAGTGTCTTGCTATGATGCCCCAGAGTCACACCATCAGGCGATTCAGTCGCTTCTGCAAAGACAACTTGGTCTCCAAAGGATGGGCCACAGAATCCAAGGGCCACTTGGGGACGGTCCTTGCGTGACAGATGGATGTTTCTGAGACATTGCTGGAAAATGCAGAGTAATAGCAAGACGCCCAGCTACTTGCAGCCAACCAATCCCTTCCGGGAGTGATGTCCCCCTTGAAATAATGACCTCCTGGTAGGCCCCGCCTCTTAAAGGGCCAACCACCTCGACTCTGCCAGACCAAGGTCTGAGCCTCCACCAGCTGGATCTCCAGGGCCCACAAACCCCGTTCAAACCACAACAGACCACCGAGTCACGAGCATGTCTCTCTCAGAGACATGTTTATAGCAGCTCATTCACAACAGCTAAACTGTGCTGCCAACCTAGGTGCCCTTCAACAGATGGATGGACAAAGAAAATGCGGTACGTATACAAAATGGAATATTACTCGGCCATGAAGAAGAATGAAATCATGGCATTGGCTGGTGAATGGATGGAGCTGGAGACTATCATGCTACGTCAAATAAGCCAATTAGCCCCCCAAAACAAAAGCCAACTGTTTTCTCTGATATGTGGATGTGAACTCACCATGGGGGCTGCCCTAGGGAAGAATCGAGATACTCTGGATCAGGCAGAGGGGATTGAAGGGAGGGAAGGGGTGTGGGGTAGGAAGGACAGTGGATGATCCCCAGGTGCACAGGGGACACCCACCGTCGTATGAAGCCGGTGGCCTCCGCCGTGAGCCTCTGGGTGAGGTTGTCGAAGGACAGTGGCTGCTGCATGACGTCGTAGTCCCTCATCAGGAAGCAGTTGAACGGCCGGAAGAAGTGCAGGAAGCAGAGGAAGAGGAGCAGCAGCAGGGCCACCAGGAGCAGCAGCCCCAGGAAGACGCCCAGGGGCACCCGCAGCAGCCCCAGGCAGCGCAGCGCGCCCAGGGTCAGCACCGCCAGCCCGATGACCTGCAGCGGGACCCACACCAGCCAGCGGCCGACCGAGGCGAAGACCGTGCCCTCCCCGGGTTTGCAGTCCCTGAGGTTGCTCAGGGGGACCCCAAAGAACTCGTCGAAGCCGTGGCGCAAGGGGTGGTGGCAGAAGTCGGTCCTGTTGTGACAGTTCATGCCGAGGTGCCACTTCCCTGGGAAGACAAGTGCGGGGGACAACTTGAGTCCTGGGCGTCTCGGATCCACGCAACCCCCCCAACCCCACCCCAGAGGACAAGGGACCTGGGGATTCAAACCAGCAAAGTACCCACAAGCAGAGAAACCAAAGAGCGGCCACAGAACCTTCCGGGGTCCTCCCCAGACCTGGGGACAAACTGAGCCGTAAAAACAAGTCTGAGGACCCCAAAGTCGAGTTCTTTGGGTATTAAATGCGGGAAATGCACCCTGATTCTGGTACCAGGGGCACTGAACCACGGAGCCCCATCCCCAGCCTTTTTTTTAGATTTTATTTAGATGCAGAGTCGTGCTGAGTGGCTTAGGGCCTCGCCAAGTTGCGGAGGCTGGCTTTGAACTTGCGGTCCTCCTGCCTCAGCCTCCTGAGCCGCTGGGATCACAGGTGTGCCCCACCGCGCCCGGCTAAGAGGATGCGTTTGACACCATCTGGGATTCATCAGGTGAGCAGCTTAACACCCATCAGTAAGCACAAGGGGACATCATGCAGGTGCATGGGACCGTGTCCCAGAACTGAAAATATGATAGGACGGTGCGCACGTGTAGGTTCATAAGYGCCCTCTGTGCATGTGCAGCTGCTTGTCTATCATCTGCCTGGACTCTCTCCACCGCCATGTTATCCATCGTCTGTCTACGGATCACTGGCTCATTCATGTTYCATCCCTCTGTCCATTCTGCCTTCCGTCTGCCCACCCACCCATTTATCATTATCTACCCACCCGCCAGGCTACTTCCCCATTCATTCTATCCGTCCATCATCCATCCACCCACTCTGTCCATCCACGTAGGTGTGCATTACCTTTCTGTACGTCCATCCATCCACACATTTTGTATCTGCTCTTCCATCCTCTGTATCTATCTATCCATTCTCTAACTACTCTCTCCTATCTATCTAACCCATCCCTATCTATCATCATCTATCATCTATCTATCATCTATCTATCATCCATCCACCCATCCATCCATCCATCCACTCACTCATCCACCCCACCCATCCACCCAACCACCCATCCATCCATACACCCATCCATCCATCCACCCATTGATCCATCTACCCATCCATCCATCCACCCATCCACCCATTGATCCATCTACCCATCCATCCATCCATCCATCCATCCACCCATCCACCCATCCATCCATCCATCCATCCATCCACCCATCCACCCATCCATGCACTCATCCATCCATCCACCCATCCACCCATTGATCCATCTACCCATCCATCCATCCATCCATCCATCCACCCATCCACCCATCCATGCACTCATCCATCCATCCATCCATCCATCCACCCATCCACTCATCCA